ACTCATTTGAAAAGAGTTTTGAACTCAGTGTTGAAGGTTTCATTACTTCAACTTAAATGGTGTAAGTTCACAGTACTCATATACTGTAGATACGTTTTTTTTATCTCAAATGGTTTGTTGCAATCAGTTTCTTCAAATGGGTTGAGTTGCCTTAACTTGTTGAGTTTTACAGTACTCAGTTCGTTTGAGTTCTCTTCATTAATTGGGTTTTACTGTGCTCAAATTGCTTCATTTACTCAAATGGATCAAGTTCACAGTACTCATTAGGATTGGTTTTTGAACTTAAATGGTTTGTTGCAATCGGTTTCCTCAAATGGTTTGAGTTACTTTAACTTTTTGGGTTTTACAGTGAGGGGTAAAATAAACGTTAATATTTTAAAGACATGGGGCAGGAAAATTTTACTTAATGCAGTGGTTCTTGCACAATCTGAGACCCACTTTATATCATATATCAATCAAGTAGTGAAGATTGTTGATTTTAAAAAAAGGACTTTAAACGCGCCAATTTTGTAACTGCATACAGTTCTCCGTAAAAGCTTGACCCAGGTTACGGCAAAATTAAACGTTTTTTTGCATGCTTCTGCATATGCCTTATTGAAGCACGTTTTGTGTCATTATCTTGGTGGTCAAAAGGGCATCAATGTATGGATGTCAAATAGACATCAAGGTTTTGATCTCAAACTGATTAGCATTTTTTATGTCTTTTTTTCAGGGTTTTTTTATATTGTTTTTGACATCAAGATACCCATTGGAAAGATTATCTTTTGTTCGTTTTTGTAGTTTTATAGTTTAGTTTTTAGCATCCTTTTTTTTTTTACCTCCTGGTGTCTGTGCCCTTGTCAGCACTTCCAGGTGTATATGTGTTTAATTGTGAAAAATACACACAAACAGTTGATAAGTGAGATAAGTGAGAATGTGAGATGTTATATTTGGACAAAGAGGCAATCGCTGGTTGCTGCTAAAGCGCATAACACAGTTGTGTCACACAGTGCAGTTGGAGCCGAGTGATCTGTCTGCTGAGGTGACAGCCCTGCTGCTGTTTGTGAATGTACACACGTCCGCATGTGTTAACAGAGCTAAACTGACTCAACCAGAGCAACACAGCAAATCGGGGCTAGCAAAACACATCAGCCTAAGAGCTTTAGAAAGATTTCATCACAACAATGGTTTACGCTTATGAAAACCAGGCAAAATTTCCCCAATTCATTGTCCAATTTTGGTGAGTTTGCGTAGATTCTATCTATTTTGCAGTTTTCAGCTGTTTCACCCAGAGTGATTTCTTTGCTGCTGTAGCTCGTCCGATTCAAGGTTTGTGTGATTAGAGATGCTCTTCTGCAGATCTCAGTTGTAAGGGATGCTATTTGAGTTATTGGTGTCTTTCTGTCTGATCCAAACCAATCTGGTCATTCTACTCTTTGCTCTAGGATCAATATGGCATTTTCGCCAAACAAAACCACCACACTCATTTAATCATTTCTCTCTCTTATTTTGGACCATTTATTTACATAAATCCCAGTCTGGCACCAACAACCCTGCCACATTCAAAATCATTTAAATCAGTTTTATCTCAGGTATAACTTAAACAGCACATCATCTTAACCATGTCTGTGTTGCTAAATGTGCTATGCTGCTGCCATGTGATTGGCTAATACTCATTAAGTCATTCATTTTCTTTTCGGCTTAGTCCCTTTATTAATCTGGGGTCCCCACAGCGGAATGAACAGGCAACTTATCCATCATATGTTTTATGCAGCGAATGGCCTTCCAGCTGCAACCCATCACTGGGAAACACACATACACACTCAATCCCACACATATACGGCCAATTTAGCTTACCCAATTAATTTACAGCACATGTCTTTGGACTTGTGGGGGAAACCAAAGCACCCAGAGTGTGCTTTTTTCATTTTCTGTGGAAAATAAACATTTTTATCAGCCTCCTTTTGTTTATGCTATGTTATTTTACCTTAAAGATCATATAGGTAACAAAAGTGAAATTACTGAACCTATACACAGGAGCTTAATAAAATGCTAATTTTAGAAGAAAATTTCAGATGCATTTAGAGGTTTTTGCATCTGAACTATTCATATGTTTTATATGTTATTTAAATCCAATTAAAACATAAATTCACCAATATAATAATAAAGAAAAGTTTTTTTTGGACTGGCTTTGTTATACAGTGTGTTTACCACAGCCATTTTAGCTATTCTGTAGCTGAATATACCCCATTGTGATTGCCTGAAAACATTTTCATTCAAAAGCATTTTAACCCCATGGTGATGGAATGTTCCTTCTTTTCTTTTTTTTTATATTAATATTGTTGTTTTCACCTGGTGTTGATGAAAGGGCGTTTTTACTCAAAGTTGAACTGTTTTAGCTTTAAATTATTTTAAATAACTAGGTGACTTTTTACTTTTTTCATTCATTCATTTTCCTTCAGCTTAGTCCCTTTATTCATCAGGGGTCACCACAGTGGAATGAACCACCAACTTATCCCGCATATGTTTTACACAGCAGATGCCCTTCCACCTGCAACCCATCCATAACACACTCATACAGTCAATTTAGTTTATTCAGTTCACCTGGACCGGATGTCTTTGGACTATCGGGGTAATTAGAGTACCAAGAGGAAACCAGGGGGGAGAATGCAAACTCCACACAGAAATGCTAACTGCCCTAGCTGGGACTCGAAGTGACTTTCTTGCTGTGAGGTGACAGTGCTAACCACTGAGCCACCATCTTGCCCCTTTTTACTTTATTCATTCATTCATTCATTTTCTTTTCGTCCCTTTATTAATCTGGGGTCGCCACAGTGGAATGAACCGCCAAACATCCAGCATATGTTTTACGCAGCAGATGCCCTTCCAGCTGCAACCCATCACCAGGATACGTCCATACACACTCATTCATACACTATGGCCAATGTAGCCTCTGTTTTTGTACAGAAACACCAACTGACCCAGCCGAGATTCGAACCAGCGACCTTCTTGCCACCGTACTGTCCTTTTTTCTTAAACTTTATACTGATTTTAATCATTTCATCAATGCAAAACAGTCTGGTACCTTAGAAACAAAGCGTTCTGAGAAACATAATTAAATGTTACTTCTTAATTATACCTTTAAACATAATTACATTTTCTAACCTCATATTGCCCATTGGTTGATTCTAATCGAATCACTGTCTAACAGAAAACACTTAAAAGTAGCAGAAGATAAAACACGCTTTCTACTTAAATATTAGAATGTGGGACTGCTGAATGAAAAGCTCTAAAGCTCAGTTAATGTCATCTTTATAAGAAAAATCAAGGCATTTGCTCTCTGTAATTTGTTAGTAAACCAATGATTAATTAGCTGTGTGGGTTTTTAAAATATGTTTGGACGGAAAGTAATCTTGTCTTTTTTTTTTTACCCTGAAAGAATCTTTCTAATATAAATAAGCCATTAGTGCTCAGACGTGTCTTTCCTCTATAAGGAACTGAACACACATGGCGAAGTCTTTCCCCAGAAACCTGCCCTCTATCTCCCCCACTGGTCTCTCAGGTAATAGAATTTTGAAGAAGTTCATGTTTCTGCATGTAGATAAATGAAAGCTGGCCAGGTTTTTGGAATATAAGTGGTGCTGTGTCAAAAGGTTGCAAACATGACGTCTTTGAATTAGCATGGGGTGATGAAAAGTCAGGCTTTAACTCAAATCCGGGCCCTCTTGTGAATAATTCCTTATGCTACGCATCATTGTGCTAGACGTGATAACTGATGAATGAAGAAACAAGGCAGACACAGAATGCTTACAAGCCCATCAGTACTCAACCATACACACACACAGACAACACATCTCTCTCTCTCCTCTCTCTCTCTCTCTCTCTCTCAAAAATTAAGGTTTCTAAACGATGACTGTGAGTGGGATAATAAATAACTATCTATCATGTGACGTCACAGACTAATGACCTGTCTCATGCTCTGATAATTCCTAATATGGACCTGAAAAAGAGTCACAACGTTATACCTGTGTTTGAACTGCAAAGATGGTACTAAACAATGTGATACCTTTCAAAATGATCAACAGCAATGCTGTTGCTACACTACTCATTTTTATTTTTTTCCAGACTTTTTCTTTTGTCCATAAATGGCACATGATGTCATTTCAACACATTTAATGAATGGCAATGCTATATATTATGTTATTTCATTTAGATTTCCACATTTTAGTCAACTTGTTTTGGGGATAATTTTGTGAAAAAAATATTTTTGGGGGGTAATTGATCAGATTTCTGTGTAAAATATGTGTCTATTTGTTAATTTATGGTTTTAGATGTAAAGATCTAACATTTTTTAAGTGACAAGTTTAAAGTGGACCCTTGGATGTATGTCCATAAGATTGCTCACTGAATAGTTGTAGTATAGCATATTTTGTGCTGTACCAACAAAATTTATTTCTGTTTATCTCCTTCATAACATACCGGTTGATATAGCATAAATTTGCACTCCAAAACCTTTACTTAAATATGCTGTATTTAGCTAAATATTTAAAAAATAAATGCACTAAGCCTATTCAATTTCCTTAGCTTCCCATACAACAGTTACATGGATTACTGTAAACTAAAAATAAAACAATATAGACAAAGACTGTGAAAGAAGTGGCAGATAACTGATTTATTTTTTATATAAGGTAATGTGATGACATGTCTACAATCCCCATTATGGAAATTAACCGTAGTTTATTCTAGCAGACGTACATTCTTCGATGGTTAATCTGTGGTTATCATGGGTAAACTACAAAAAAAACATGGTTTATTTTGTAAGTGTCAAGAGAGGAAACTACTTTAGTCTATAAAATGACTATAGTCATTTTAAAACACACACATTTTTATAGTCTATTTATGCACTGTATATCCTATTTTATTCATTTTTAAACAACAAGGCGGGAAACCAAACGTTACCTCAGGCGCACTGAGGCGAGGTTCGCGCGTACCACAGTGTGAATGGCAATGAAGCAACTTACCTGTCGAGCGCAATAGCGGTCATTGAATATATAGAGGCGAAGACAGCGGCAATGGGGAAGAAGTTGTGGAATCTGCAGTAATACAGCCCGAAATACCACTCATTGTGTACGGAATAGACAAAGTTTATTACGGTGTTGAACGCTGACATTGACGCTTCTGCGAACGCCAAGTTCACAAGGAAATAATTCGTCACAGTTCGCATGCGTTTGTGCGCCAAAATGATCCATATCACCGTAATATTGCCCACCACGGAGACGACGACAATTGTGCTGTAAGCCACTGCCCAGAGCACTATCCTCCAAACCGGCTGAACAAACTGGTTCCAGTATATCTCGGTTTCATTCTGCGCGGTGGAGTTGACTGTCCAGTTACTTGGGAAGTCAGTGGAAGTGATGAACGAATCCATTCCTGTTGGGGAAAAATAGTAAAGCGATTGTTTCTTGACTGGAGGTTTTATGAATGTTCAATCGACCATGTTCTCTTTAAAGTAAAAAGTCAAATTATTGAGTTTCATGGCGCAAAGAAGAGTTCCAACTGGTATGCCTCTGTTCCCCTAAAATACAGGATTACTCCAGTGATCCTTTATAGAACACAAGAGAACATATCGCAACGCGGTGCTCCTTCACTTTTTCTCATCACGAAACCAATTTTAGCTCTTGGTTACACAGTCCTCCTCACTCCTCTGAGCGTCGCTGCCAAGTGCGCAGCGCGTGCCAAAAGACAAGTCGCGCGCACACATGAGCAGATGCTGCGAACACGCGGAACTGAGAGGAAACGATGAGACGCATCCTTTCAGTTCTTCCTTTTTTATAGAAGATTTGAGTAATCTGCGTGTGTGTGTTTCACAGCGCGCCAGGTGTGCCACGCAGGTTGGAAGATGATGTTTGGTCGCGCGCAGATGCTGTGCGCACGAGGTAATGAAACCAAAAATAATCCAAACGTCCTTGGAAACCAGTTTCTTTCTTGTTTTGTGTGTAATCTCATTAATTCAGATGTCACTTTGAACAGAAACGGAAGATGTTGTATAGTTTTTTAAAGGTTGGACAAAAAGTGCAATTATAGACACGAGTTTTTAAGCTTTTGACGTTTATAACCTAGCCTATAGGAGCGTCTTTCAGCAGTTGCTTTGATATTGAACCAATGGACAATTTTATTACAATTTTAACACAAGTAATTCAGTAATAGTTCGCGGTCTCCCCCTGGTGGTTCCATCTAAATGCCCGTTACTCTTTAACCCAATCAGCCAGTGTGAAAGACAGATTGTTAAATTTGCAGTTAATTTATTTACCTTTAGGGCACCCAAAATTGGAGACTTTTTTTTAAACAGAACATTAAATAATATTTTGGATGAAACCGTGGTCTTTACCGATTCCTAAAAAGCATGTTAACAACTTCCAGTACTTTGACAGTCCAAAAATATATATACAGGCAAAATAAAGTTAATACACAGGTAATAGATAACGCAGTTTGTTTACAACCATTTTATAGGATGCAGCTTCCAAGATCATTTTAACAAACATCGTCTAGCATCCGTTCAGGTGAATGATCTGTGAAGGCTCCAAATAATGTGAATTTCTTTTGCACAGACTGATAATTTTGCCTCTTAGCGTTGGGTTGCGGCTGGAAGGGCATTCACTGCATAAAACATATGCTGGATATGTAAGAAAATGAATGAATAAATGAATGAATGATAATTCTGCTTAATAATATCTCAATTCATACACTGTAAAAAATAATATGATCAATTAGTCATGACAACATATGTTTTTGGTCATTAAACTTATTAAACTAAGTTAACTTTTTTTAAGTCTGTTAAACGTAGTATAAGTTCAATGGACTCATAAATTTTATTTGAATCAGCTTTTTTTTCTTTTTTTTTTTGCTGAACTATCCCTTTTAAACCAATGTGCATGATAGACAAATGTGGTAGAGTAACCTCACCTTTTATTAGTTTTCAGATCATTTGGATCAGCTATAACGCTGTTTGCGAGCCAACATTTGTCCAGCATCAATGGACATCAAACCTCACTGATACTCTAAATTGGCACAAATCCTTGTTCTAACATTTAGTTGCAAGCTTTAAATAAGCTGTTATGGCTCCAAAAGAAGGGATTAATGCTTTTGTTGCTATGTTTTAACTGCTCAGCAAGATGCAGGAGCATCAGTAAGGTCAGACTCTGACGTTGTGTGACGCAGCCTAACATAATTCATCCTGAAGGTGTTCAGGTCTGGGCTTTGGATGGCTTTTAATTTTTTCCCCCCACATCACAGACTGTAAATCATTTCTATATGGATACCATTTTAGTGTTCTAATTTTTATGGCCACATTTTCACTGGCATTATTTATCATAGAGAATACATGCACAATTCAATTATGTTTCCACATTAAGAGGGATGTTTTGATACTTGATGATTCAGATTCAGCTTAGGGAACTGCCCTTTACAGAGCACATTTTAAGCACTTTAGTGAATCACTCTTTCAGCCGACACTACATTGCTATGGGCATTTCTTTTATCCATTTATTTTTTGGATTCTCTTAAAATTTTGAGTTGTTTGAGATTTGTGATCAGCCTTTTTGCTTTTGGCTGAGAAAGGTCTCTTGCTTCTATCTGCTTTAGGCTGCATTTACATTTGAACAATGAATAAATGAAAGGAGGTTTTTCTTTGCATTTTTAAAATGCTTTGCAAACAGATTGTCAGAATGATCCATGATCACTCTAAACGCTGTATTGCATGCCAGGACAGAAGCTGGGTGGCATTATGACTTTGTAAATATAATATTTGTAAATAATCTGTAGTTTGCCATTCACTCTTAACAAATTTTTATATTGGCCTTGGTGGTTCAAAGAGCCTTAAAGGTGCTGTATGTACATTTTTGATTTTCTAAAGCATGAAAATATTGTAATATGTTTGCAGATATTTAAGAAATGTTAAGTAAACATTCATGTATATCTTAAAAAAACTATGCTAAAGTCAGATATTCTGTTTTGAAAATGTGAGTTATGTGCCAGATTTCTGTCTTTGTTTTAGTCCCTTTAACCTGCCCAATGCCAGTTCAGCCAATTATATTTCAGCACCCCGGCTTGCCTTATTTCATATTTCATATTAAATATGAAATAATTTAATTAATTCATTCAGAAAGGCTCTCAAAGCATACGTCCGTGACCGAAATGCAACGTCCGGTGGACAGTAGCAGACTCCAAAATAAGACATAGATTCAGAGTTCCACATGAGGTTATTGGTTTGCAAATAATATAAATATTACGGTTTATTTTATTTTCAAGATCTGAGGTGAACTATTTGCTGCTGCCTTCAGTAGTATGGCAATAAATGTCATGTAAAATGTCATTCAAACTCAAACTTACATTTACCCGAGGAGATCATTGTCAGTTTTCTGTTGTTCAGCTGCAATAAAAGGAAGCTGTTTCTAATATATCAATTTGAGGTGTTGGTTAGAACAAAAACTCCTTTTAATAAGAAAAATACTCAGTCTATAGCGTCATTGCTTTTATATAGAAGACAATTTAAATCAGCCTGAAATTAGCGTTTAGTCTCAATCGTCAGACTCGCACCTGTTGGTCTTCAATCTGGTAACCTGCACCTGCATGTGTTTTGATACAGGAATGCAATACCTAGTTCAACCACTGGGTGTCAAACTTACATACTGCACCTTGAAGAATCCATAGAACATTTATTTTTTCTCACAAAATAGTTCTTTTAAGAACAAATCACAAATTCACAAAGTTTTTTTTTTCAAGAAACTTAAAATGGTTATTAAGGCAACATTGATTTATTCATTTGTTTTTCTTTGGCTTAGTCTCTATTTCAGATGTCACCACAATGGAATGAACCATCATCTATTCCAGTGTATGTTTTATACAGTGGAACCCCTTTCAGCCGCAACCTAGTATTGGGAAACACCCATATACACACTCATACACTGCAGCCAATTTAGCTTATTCAATTCACCTGTCTTTAGACTGTGGGGGAAACTGGAGCACCAGGAGGAAACCTACGCCAACACAGAGAGAACATGCAGACAGAAATGCCAACTGGCCCAGCCGGAACTTCTTGCTGTGAGGCGACAGGGCTGACCGCTGAGCCACCGTGTTGCCCGTTATTAAGGCATCACTAGGAAAAATTCTATTTAGTTGTTGTTGTTTTTTGGTTGTCAAGTACTCACATGTATACACTGAATGTGTTTGTGCATGACAAAACTATTTAGGAAGGTTACAGTATTCTGTATTGAAACCATATTCAGTTTCAATGTAAAATCTTTTTTAAACCTATTTTCAATAAGGCTGGGCGATTATTCGAAAAGTAATCAACATTCAAATCATTAATCTAATTTTTCCAGGATGATCTTTTCAATTACTTTCCCTAAAGGTTGTGGCTGATTTCTACTTCTGTGGCCAGCAGCCACATCTGATCTCTGGTCAAGTGCACAACTACATTGACAATGATTGAATGCTGTGCCAAATATGCCTTTAGATGGCATATAAAAGTTATATGTAATAACTTTGAGGGCAAAAAAAAATCATAAATTAATAAAACAATCGCTCATTAATCATAATCGAGTTAAAATGTTCAATTAATCGAGATTTTGATTTCAGGCCAAATCGCTTAACCCTATTTTCTATGGGTTTTTTTTTTGTAATTTAAAATATGTTTTGTATACACTTACACATTATTCGTTTTTGTACCTCTATGATGATTTGAAATTCACACCATTTTATATCATCACATACATCAAGGAAAAAAACATTTGTGGTAGCATTTTGCTTAGAGTTAGTTTGTTTCCTTTTGTAAATAATAAAAACATCCTATATCTCAGGCAAAGACTCCACAGGCATACAGATGTTATTGTTGTAGCTCTATTTTATGATAATCAATTCAGTGGTTTTAGGAGGACTGGAAAGTCTGTCACATGCATTGCCTAAATTGTGATTCCTCCAACAACCACTGTAGAAAGCAACTAGTAATTGTGATGTGCTGTGGCTGGCAACTCTCCAGTGTTAATTAACCATGTATCGTGACAGCATCTGGATTGCATGCATCTTATTTCACCCAATTTTAATTCACTTAATTCTTTATGCATTTTTTGTTTATTATTGTAGAATGTGTTTCTGTATTAAATTGGTCAGTATTACGCTAAGACAATTTAATCATTCAGAAGATTCAGTGCAATGCTGAAAATACAGCTTGTCAATTCTTTTAGTGCCCTTGTTTTTATTTCGGTCTTGTGTGTATACTCTACCTTCTTTTTGATCATAGTAACATAATATGCCCAGCCGAGGAGCTCTGCTCGGCAAATCAAGACCTGCTTGACCACTGCTTGTCGACAAGAAAGAAATCTGAAATTTAATTTCACACACCAACTGTCATCCTCCTGGGTCACATTTAAT